CATAGGAGGGAATATAAATTAATACAGCCATATTGGACAATAGTATAGAGATTCTTCAGAAATGTGAAAGTAGATCTACCATATGACCCAGCCATCACTTCTTTGAATTTGATCAAATTAAATGAAATCAGCTTATGAAAGAGTAATCTCTACCCCATGTACATTGCAGCTCAATTCACAATAGTTAAGATATGGAATCAACCCAGATGTCCTTCAACCAATGCCTGGATAAAGAAAATGTGGTGTTTGAAAACTGGAAATACTACTCAGCCATAAAAAAGAGATGAAATCCTGTCTTTTTTAACATAATGATTGCAACTGGAAACCATTATATTTAGTGAAATAAGCCAGTCTCAAAAGAACAAATATAATAGGTTTTCCCTGAGCTGTTGTAACTAATAGAGTTAAAAAACATAGTGTATTTTAGAGGAGTTGACGTTTTGAGATTTGATTATTTTTTATAGCCCTGTCTCTACTGTGAGGAACAGTGGTTTTTTTTTTTATTATTTGTTGAATTCTTAGAGGAGAGTTAAGCTTATGATTATAAAATAAACTGAAAGTATATCATTACGAAAATTAAAAGACAGAACAAGAAAGGAGAGAGGATGGGAGCAATCATAGGAGGGAGGGTAGGGTAGTAGGAAGCATCACTATGCTCCTAAATCTGTATATATGAAATACATGAAATTTGCTCACCTTATATAAATAAAATATTTTTAATTACATGTAATAGCTCCCCAAAATAGATTTTTATCAAAGTGTGGGGTCAGAGAGTTAAAATGATTTAAGTAAATACAAATATTTATAAAATTCCAAGACATGAAATTTCCCATTTTTCCATATGATTCCTGTGACTTCCAATTATTTTTTTTCATATGTTGACATTTTGAAGTGGAGGTGTAGAGAGACAAAATAACACCATATTTCTTTATTCTTAGGTAGCTTGCTTTGTCTGGCAGTTGTGATGCTATGATTTCTTGGTGAAGAGAGCAAGGTAATAGGGTAGTTACTTGTGTAGTTTCTATTAATTCCTCATCAATTATCATCTTCAATGCCTGGCATTTGTGAGACTCATGGTTGTCTTATAGCAACATATTTTTCTCCTCTTATACATTAGGTACAAAAAATAAGAGTTAATCTATACCATGCTTAAAATTCAATCTTGTAATCCCTACTAAGTGGTGTTTCTGCCTTCTACCATAAAATACAGATCTATTATGTTGTACACGGCTATAAATTCATTCCAACATTTTTACTTGGTTAAATATAAGAAATAATTGCTGCTTATTTTCCAAATATGGAGTCTTTTGCCTTGGTGGGTAGTCACCAGAAGCTTTACAAATCAAGCTAGGCAACTTCTTTGGTGAAATTGATGAACTTCTTTTATCAGAACTTTCTCCTCTATCACTGTTCCTTTGGTTTCATCCTATTAGAAACATTTTGCTACATGTGGTAGATTTCATGATATTATTATTCAATGCAATGAAATGAAATTTTAAAATGTTGGCAATCATCTATAATAACTTTTTATTGTTTCTTCTGTATATTTTGTACTAAATATTTTAATAGTGACTAATTTGTTGCCACTGTAGAGTACACACAATAGTTTATTCAACATCCATTTCTAATTTCTTTCTTGCTACTATAACCCCAGTATTGTGGAGAAAGGCAATATTCTCTACCTCATATGATCAAATATGACTCATCTTAAGCCACACAGGCAATTCATGTTCCTTTTACCACATACTGGATTTGTAACCTCTATTGTAATTTGTGGTCAAATCTTAGCAAAGAATATAGAAAGAAAGTGAATTAGAGAATTTGGTGGAAGATTTTGTTGAAATGAAGAGGCTTATTTGATGCTACCCTCCTTTCCTCTTTAAATGTGTCAAATGAGCATGACTTTTGGAATTGCAACACACATTTTTGGCAGCATGAGGCTATATGAAAGAAGGAAAAAATCCCAATAAACTAAAGATGGGAAAATACAAAGAGTAAAAGAGTTTCTAACTTTGCTGTTATTCCGGAGCAGGCAGCTTCACTCCATGATTGGCTCACTTGCAGACTTGTGTTTTGAGATAACTAAATCTCTAGTTAAGCTACCCTGATTTATATATTTATTTATTTATTTTTGATAGGCAGAGTGGACAGTGAGAGAGAGAGACAGAGAGAAAGGTCTTCCTTTGCCGTTGGTTCACCCTCCAATGGCCGCCGCGGCTGGCATGCTGTGGCCAGCGCACTGCGCTGATCCGATGGCAGAGGCGGAGGATTAGCCTAGTGAGCCGCGGCGCCGGCCTAGCTACTGTGTTTTTTGATATAGTTTTTTCTCTCTTAGTACATTATATTCCTAATTAATGAACTAAATAGTTATGTAAGCCTTCAAGATGGGTTATTACAATATATTCAGGATGTAGATAAGAATTGTTGACTAAATTATCATGAAACTTGGTGAATCTTTATACAATTACTTTGTAAAAATACGTAAGTAATAAAGTCTTTACACATACAGCTACCATTTTCAGTGCTCTGTTTTTGGAGTAGACACATTTTATCTGCTATAATTTTACTTCTGTCTGAAGGACTTTTCTAATGTTTCCGATAGCACAGATCTGCTGTTTACAAGTTCTTTCAGAACTTTATTCATGGTCTGGAAAAGATGTTTGCCCATTGATGTCTTGCTTACATTGTGTCTGACATAAATCTACTGTCATCTTAATTTTGTTCCTCAGTATATAATGTTTTCCCCTGACTTGCTTTGAAATTTTTCTTTTATCTCTAGCTTTAAGAAGTTTAATTATAACATACATTGATATAATTTTATTTGTATTTCTTGTTTTTGGAATGCATTGGGATTATTGGCTTTGTATATTTATAATTCACAGAAAATTTGGACAAACTGGCCATTGTTTCTCTAAATATATTTCTGCTGGGACCAGAGTTGTGGTACAGCAGAAAAAGCCACTGCCTGCAACACTGGTTTCTCCTTTGGGAGTGCTTGATGGAAACCCAGCTGCTTTGCTTCCCATCTAGCTCCTTGCTAATGTGCTCCAGGAGGCAGAAGATGGCTTAAGTATTTGGACCCTTGCCACCCATGTGGGAGATCCAAGTAGATGGAAAAACCACTATATTACTCAAGTTTTAGGTATGAAAATTGTATTCATTAAATAAAAGCTTAAAATTATCAGGTAGTTTTTACTAATGTATTGACTTCCTTGGACTCTGCAGAGTTTTGAGTGAAGAGTAGCTTAATCTGTCCTTGGGAGCTACTGTATATTCTCTCTAGGAAAAGATGGATCAGGGGATACAAATTCAGGCAGAAGAGAAGTATCTCCTTTCCTTCCTTGTATTTATCATCCTCCTCCTCATCATCATCATCAAACACCCACAATGTGAATTGCATGTGATGAGCAGTGTATGCCTATAGTTTGACAAATTACAAGATCAATTTCTTTTGTCTTCTACATGTCTATATAGGCAGCTTGTACAGGGGTAGGGTCGAGGTCTAGATTGCTTGAATTACTGCAGCTTTTGTACTTGTAGATTTTTTTGTGTGTGTGAAGAACATGGTGTCCCTAAGGGAGAACCCGACTTCAATTAAGAAGAGAGTTTACACAAGTCATTTAAACATACTGGAGTGCTTTATTTCTGGAATGAAAGACAAGGAAGTGCTTTTGCAAGAGAATTCATCAATGATTATGGGCACTACATAATAAAGAAGAAGTAGAATATAATGGATGTGGGGGCAGTGGGTTAAGATAAAAATACATGTAGTTGAAGAAGTTTTCATCTATGTTTTGTATTATGTAGACCTCAGGGATAAGAGTTATATTTGGTATAGATCTGATGTGCTATAAAATAATTTCAATGTTAAGTATTTTGCCAAATACCTTTCATACTGTCAAGTCAATGATGACATGTACAATTATTCAGCTGACAGAAGCAGAAAAGGTGTGTTTTTTTGTACCATATTTTAATAAGTTCAAAATTTAGGGCAAATGATTTTAAGTTCTGCTTATGAGAGTTCTTAATTTTTAAAATTAAGATCCTTGTGATTCAGGATTTTACTTTTAGTCACTTTGGGATTTTTAGTTTTAATCACTTCAGGATCTGTATTTATTCAAAATAACTTCTTATTCATTGAAAAAATATTAATTATTATTAAAATTTTAAGAGGAAATGGTTAGAAGAGCACTCTTATTTGTGCTCTAAAATTTCAGCTATTCCTCAGCTGATCCAGTAAATATTAGTATCATTTCAATTTCTTTTGGTAGGTAACCATCTTTTTACCCCAAGTGTTTCAAATCTCAGCCTAAGAAGAACATCCAAAGGTTCATAGAAGGAACAACCTCGTATTGCAGAGGGTGAAGTTGCCACTTGGGATGCCCACATCTTTTATGAGAGTTCCTGGGCTGGAGTCACTCTTCTGCCTCTGATCCAGTTTACTGCTAATGTGCACCTGAAAGGCAGCAGATGATGGCTTAAGTTCTTGACACCCTGAGATTCAAGTAGGAGACCATAGTGGGGTTCTTGGCTCCTGGATTCAGCCTGAGCCAATCCAACTCTGTTCCAGGCATTTGGGGAGTGAACCAGTGAATGGAAGATTCTCTCTCATTGCAGTTCACTGTCACTCTGCCTTTCCAATTACTAAAAAGTAAGACTTCAAAAAAAAAAGTTTAAGCAAAATACATATTATGGAAAAACTGCATAGATTTTTTTTAACTTTTATTTAATGAATATAAATTTCCAAAGTACAGCTTATGGATTACAATGGCTTCCCCCCCAATATGGTCTCTCCCACCCGCATCCCTCCCCTTTCCCACTCCCTCTCCCCTTCCATTCACATGAGGATTCATTTTCGATTCTCTTTATCTACAGAAGATGAGTTTAGCATACATTAAGTAAAGATTTCAACAGTTTGCTCCCACGCAGAAACATAAAGTGAAAAATAATAGATGATTTTTAAAATGATGATGAAATCAGATCAGACCCATTGTCATGTTTAATCCCAGTGAGAGTCAAGTTGGGAATTGATAATTTCTTCTTTTTTTTTTTTTTTTTTTTTTTACAGAAGATAAGTTTAGTATACATTAAGTAAAGCTTTCAACAGTTTGCACCCCCATAGAAACACAAAGTGAAATATACTGTTTGAGTACTCATTATAGCATTAAGTCTCAATGTACAGCACATTAAGGACAGAGATCCTACATGAGGAGTAAGTGCACAGTGACTCCTGTTGTTGACTTTACAAATTGACACTCCTGTTTATGGCATCAGTAATCTCCCTATGCACCAGTCATGAGTTTCCAAGGCTATGGAAGCCTTTTGAGTTCTCCGACTCTTATCTTGTTTAGACAAGGTCATATTCAAAGTGGAGGTTCTCTCCTCCCTTCAGAGAAAGGTACCTCCTTCTTTGAAGACCTGTTCTTTCCACTGGGATCTCACTCACAGAGATCTTTCATTTAGGGGTTTTTTTTTTTTTTTTTTTTTTTTTTTTTTTTTTTGCCAGAGTGTCTTGGCTTTCCATGCCTGAAATACTCTCATGGGCTTTTCAGCCAGATTGGAATGCCTCTAGGGCTGAATCTGAGGCCAGAGTGCTAAAACTGCATAGATTTAAACATTTTCTGCACAATAAATGTATATTTTATTTTCATTATCCATGAACTTTGTCAAGCACCTTTGGGTTTCATGAAAACAATGTAGCATTTAATCATTTTGTCTAATATTTATAATATTTTCTTATCCTTAGTTTAAGATACAGGAATAAAAGTTATTTAGCTAAATGTACTTTGACGTATATACACATCTAGAAATTCCTTTTTGAATAAATTGTTCATTTGAATTTAGTTGAATTTCATTATAAATCAATAAAAGAACTGACCATGCCACTTTACAATCTGTGAGCAAGATTGTTAACTGAAGCAAAGACTGAAACAAGCTTTCCTTAGAATAAATTTTTAGAATCAGAAAATTATGATTTTCACTATTTTAGTCAATGTCCTTTGAGATTTTGTCATCATTCAAACATATTATCGTTTTAGCAGGAAGAATTGCTTCAGTTGAACCTAATCTGCCTGACTACAAATTAAAGGAAGGGTAAATTACTATCTTTTAAAATTTTAGGAACTTCTTTGAAACAAAAAGTTGGAACTCAGGTTTATTTCTTGAAGTACAGACATTGTCTACATTTCTCTACATGAGTTTATTTCTTTTTTTGGGTTAACCATGAGTCAGGTACTAATTTACTGCCTGGTGGCTGTGTTCTGTGTAGAAAGCTGAGTTGCTTTCTCATGTTGTTAAGAAGCCAAAAGTTAGTTGCTGTGAAACCAGTTTCCTAACTTGATAAAATGGAAAATTTATATGACTTATTAGATTACATTTTGAAAGTTAGTGTGTGTAGGGAGTTACATCTTCATTTTCACCTCGAGAAGGGTAGTTTGAATGTAATTTATCATTTCATTTTAACTTTTTAGTTCAGAGGGAGAGAGAGAGAAGGAGAGAGAGAGAGAGGGAGAAAAGGCAGGCAGGCAGGCAGGCAGGCAGGAAGGAAGGAAGGAAGGAAACACACTCTCATCTGCTGTTTCATTCCCCAAATGCCTGTAATAGCCAGGATTGGGGCATCCCAAAGCCACTAACTAGGAACTCATTTTGAGTCTCTCATGTTGGGTGGCAGTAACAAGTACTTGAGCTATCATGCTGCTTCCTGGGGTCTACATTAGCAGGAAGCTGGAGTCAGGAGCCCACGCAGGGAACCAAATCCAGGTACTAACTGTAGGAGTGGCTATCTTAATCACTAGACTAAAAGTCTGTCCTTGTCATTGCATTCTAACTTGTAAAGTTGTTTGTTGTTAGTCCCTTTTCAGGTACAAATGGAGTCAAATTACAAGCAGCACTCTATTTTTACTGAATACAAGCATTTTGAAAAGCCAGTATCTTTAATGATACATTAGGAGGTATGCCCAGTTTGAAATATATATATATATATATATATGTATATTGTTTTCCTTTTTACAGTGTGCAACCTCAGAGGAAGTTTAACAAAATCACCACAGGACATAAAATTATGATTTAAGGAGATTATTCCTGGGTTTCAGGTTATAGCAGCCACTACCCCCTACCCAGCAAGCCCTGCCAGCAACAGTATTACCCATGGTTTTTCATTTAGTTTTGAATTAGTTGAACAAAGTTGTACTCTACAATCTAGATGAAAATGTTTAAATTTCAGTTACCAACAGAATGCTCCCGAGCTTTTCTGGACTTTAAGCATTGCTCTTTACAATTCAGGGGAAATGCACAAGTTTCTTTTGTATGTGCAAATACTGTGCTTCTGTCCTATACTTTATATATGCATACTTGTTTGGAAAATGCATTGTTAATGTAGGTCCTTATAACAGCCTAGATGGGAAGTTAATTTCCAGTGTGTTCACAGTACTTTCTCTGATTTGTAATTCTTCAGTGGCTGGGATCTGAGCAGGTCACTGAATGTCTTGAGGATTATTATTTGATGAGAAATTCTGATAATCATCTCCCTCAGACATACTGTCTCCTACCTGATCCAATCACTTTATCTCTTCTAGAGACATATAAATGTCATATGTTGATATAATATTTTCATTAATTCCTTGATTAAAGTATTGGCATCAGCTCATGACAAAGATAATATAATTATCTAATAATCAGCTTTATGAAAGCTATCATAATCACTCATAATGATAATTATTGTCTAGGGTAAGTTCATCAATGTTATTCAACATACTGCTAAATGTTTTCATGTATGTTTATCCTGTGTACTAAATCTTTTAAGGTATTACTTCTGGAAGAGTACAATATTTTATTAATATATTTAAATTTTTTATATTAATGAACATTTTCTGAGAGATTCTGATTCTATCCAGAAAGATAGCACATAAAGAATTCTATTGCTAGAAACAAACTAGCAAATCAATCAGCCAAAAATCTGCTTTCTTACAAAGAAAGGATTTAGGTGAATGACCCCTCATTCATTAATGAAACTATTAACAGGAAATGCAGTTTTGAGGGAAAGCCCAGGCTGATTGTATACAATATGAAAGATTGAGTGCAGTTATTTTTATTTACTAAAATATGACCAACATTAAGAGGGTACACTTTATGATTCTTTCAGGAGAATTTTTGATAATGTGGCGAGGGCCATAATCACCTCCTGAAAAAAAATTACTCCAAGCAAGCCCACAATCTCAGTCTGTCACAGTTCAGACTGCATTTGGAGAAATGGATTTTCCTTTAAGTTGAAGAAAGAACACAGGACTCAGGATTGCAGTTGGTCCTGCATCTAACTATCTTGTGCAATAGAAATGATTAGGGAGAAAAGGTAACAAAGAACTGATAAGCCTTGTTATTATGATTTTAAAATTCTAAGGAGAAAAAAGGTGAAGAAAGTGTGAGAATTTCTCAAGGAATATAATTCAGGTTAAGTACAGAAAAAGTGGAAATTTTCCTTGACCTTTGGCATACAATAAAAAATAAATTACAGTATATGCTTTGCAATATATGCTTATATGTTCATTTTAAGATAACTTGTGTTTATACTGCTTAAGGGAGGGCTGCTGGAGACAGACTGAGAAAATAAAAGGACTCAACCTTTGGGGGCCATCTTATACTGAATCTGTAATGTCTGGTGATTATGGCACTGTTTTGTTTAGTAAGAGACTACAATAAAAATCATTTATTTCATACATAATGTTCACTTCTTTATTCCTTATTAAATAAAACACTTATTGGATAATGGAATATTCAAGTGTTTCCCATATTTGGAAGATCAAAAAGTGATGTTGCCCTGTCTTTGCTCCTAATGACTTACTATTAATTCACAGTAAATACACAGTTATAATACAGTCCAAAAAGTGCTGTAACGGAGAAAAAGCACTACAATGGGAATTCTGAAGATGCAGATTCAAACTAGTAAAGGGCAAAGGAAAAACATTTCTTTTGTGAACAGCCAGGGATAATTTGGTGTTTTTTAAAGAAATTATTTTAATTGTACATATTTATGAGGTACAGTGTGATAATTAGATAAATGTAAACAATGTTTAATTATCAAACCAGGTTAGCTAATGTGTCCAACTCTTAAACATGAATGGTTTTTGATTAGTGCTTAATAATTGTACATATTTTTCCAATGCAGTGTGATATTTTAATACATGTATTTGTATAAATGTACAATATGTACTGGTCAAATCAGGGTAAGTATCATTTCAACCTCCTTGACATTACTTCATGTTTAGAGCATTTGAACATCTCTCTCCTACTTATTCATTAAGGGTATGAGAGTACCTCAAAAGTTTGTGGAATTAAAAATATTAATGGAATTAAAATATAAATCTATTTTGAGACAGTATTTTTGGTGCAAAATTTCTTTTTCATACTAAATGGAAAATTCACATTTTGAAATAATGATGTGTGCATTTCAAAATTGTTTTTGCACCAGAATAAAGTGGTATTTTAATACCATTATTTTCTAGGAATGCATTGCAATACTGGTGTATAATAGGTTATTATGACCTATAGTCATCTCACTGTGCTAGAACACTAGAATTCCTATAATTCCTCCTATATAACTGTGTTTTGTTGTATATTACTCTACCCCCCTCTATCTTTGCCCATATCCTTTTCAACATCTAGCAATCATTATCCTAGGTTTCATTCAAGTCTCTCTTTTAAACTTCCACCTATGTGGGAGAATGTGTGTTATGTCTTTCTGTGTCTGACTTATTTCACTTACTGTGATGTCCTCCAGTATCCTCTATATTTTACAAATGACTCTATGGCTGAATAATATCCCATTGTGTGTATATATACCACCTTTATCTGTTCATCTGCTGAGGGACAACTAGCATAATTTCATATTTTAATTAACATAAATAGGGCAGCAATAAACATCGGAGTACAGAAATTTCTTTGATACATTTGTATCACTTCCTTAAGTTATAAATGCAGAAGTGAGATAGCTGGACCATGTAAAGGATTATTTTTAGTTTTCTAACTACCATATGGTTTCCCATAACTACTGTACTAATTTACATTCTTTTTTTATTTTTTTTTATTTCATTTTTTTTGACAGGCAGAGTGGACAGTGAGAGAGAGAGACAGAGAGAAAGGTCTTCCTTTGCCGTTGGTTCACCCTCCAGTGGCCGCCACGGCTGGCGCGCTGTGGCCAGCGCACCACGCTGATCCGATGGCAGGAGCCAGGTACTTATCCTGGTCTCCCATGGGGTGCAGGGCCCAAGCACTTGGGACATCCTCCGCTGCACTCCCTGGCCACAGCAGAGAGCTGGCCTGGAAGAGGGGCAACCGGGACAGAATCCGGCACCCTGACCGGGACTAGAACCCGGTGTGCCGGCGCCGCAAGGCAGAGGATTAGCCTAGTGAGCCACGGCGCCGGCCTAATTTACATTCTTACCAACAGTGTATATAAATTGTCATTTTCTTCATATTCTCACTAGCATTTGTTATATTTTATCTTTTTGATAGTAATCATTCAAATTTATGTGAGACAATATATAATTTGGTTTGATTTGCATTTCCCTAATGGATGATATTGTTGAACAACAATTTTTTCATAAATTTATTACCAATTATTTCTTCTTTTGAGAAGTGCCTATTTGCCCATTACTTAATTTCATTTTTACTGAACTTTGTTAGTTTCTTTTTTTTTTTTTTAAAGTGAAAAATAATAGATGATTTTTTTTTAAATGATGATGAAATCAGAGCAGACCTATTGTCATGTTTAATCCCAGTGAGAGTCAAGTTGGGAATTGATAATTTCTTTTCTTTTTTTTTTTTTTTACAGAGGATCAGTTTAGTATGCATTAAGTAAGGATTTCAACAGTTTGCACCCCCATAGAAACACAAAGTGAAATATATTGTTTGAGTACTCGTTATAGCATTAAATCTCAATGTACAGCACATTAAGGATAGAGATCCTACATGAGGAGTAAGTGCACAGTGACTCCTGTTGTTGACTTTACCAATTGACACTCCTGTCTATGGCATCAGTAATCTCCCTATGCACCAGTCATGAGTTTCCAAGGCTATGGAAGCCCTCTGAGTTCTCCGACTCTTATCTTGTTTAGACAAGGTCATAGTCAAAGTGGAGGTTCTCTCCTCCCTTCAGAGAAAGGTACCTCCTTCTTTGATGACCTGTTCTTTCCACTGGGATCTCACTCGCAGAGATCTTTTGCCAGAGTGTCTTGGCTTTCCATGCCTGAAATACTCTCATGAGCTTTTCAGCCAGCTCCGAATGCCTTTAGGGCTGATTCTGAGGCCAGAGTGCTATTTAGGACATCTGCCATTCTATGAGTCTGCTGAGTATCTCACTTCCCATGTTGGATCACTCTCCCCTTTATTTACTCCATCGGTTAGCGTTAGCAGGTACTAGACTTGTCTATGTGCTCCCTTTGACTCCCAGTCCCTCCACCATGACCAACTGTGAACTGAAACTGATCACCTGGAACAGTGAGATGGCATTGGTACATGCCACCTCGATGGGATTGAATTGGAATCCCCTGGTATGCTTCCAACTCCACCACTTGGGGCAAGTCAGCCTGAGCATGTCCCAAATTATACATCTCTTCCCTCTCCCATTCCCACCACCATGTTCAACAGGGATCACATTTCAGTTAATTTTCAACACTTAAGAATAACTGTGCATCAATTACAGATCTAAACCAGTCATATTAGTAGAACAGATAAAAAACTACTAAGAGGGATATGTATTAAGTTGTTCATTAAC